TTTAGCAGTTTAATTTAAAAATTGCCTAAAGATGCCGCTAAAACCTTTTAAACAAACAGAATTTATAAATAAATTGAAATAAATATATAAGTAAAGAAACAAACAAATATATAAATCAATACTTACTAACAACATACTGTATATATTCACAATTGGGATAGGTTTTTTTTCAATGCCATTTTTGCCCTGCGATCGAATCAATTTTTTCCACTCTACGGACTTTTAATTTGGAACTCGGTGTTTCCGAATACACTTCGCCAAGGCGGCCAACATGGCAGGAGGAAAAAAGAAATCCTCGACTCTACCATCAAGAATTCAGAAAACACTTTCCTCCATATGCCAGGACAAACACATGGTGTTGTTCAAAGCAGAGTACACGTTCTTGGTCACGGCCGTCCTTTGGTTCCTGGAAATTGGGATTAACATATGGTTGATCCAAAGAGTTGCATGTAAGTGCAGTAGAAATCAATCACTGACATGATCCTTGGATAATTAAAAGCAGTGTTGGGGAAAGTTACTTTTAAAAGTAATGCATTACAATATTGCGTTACTCCATACAAAGTAACTAATTACGTTACTTAGTTACTTTGTATGGACAGTAATGCGTTACGTTACTTTTGCGTTACTTTTTAAATCTGGACAGGGCTTGCTTGTTTGGTTTTAATATAAAAAAGTTATATTTTTGGCAAATATAAAAGCCTTTTCACACCCAAAGTGAAATGAATAAGCCTCAGGCTGAAGGGAAAGTAAGTTTACGTCCGTACAGTAGAATGCAGAAGAAGAAATTTAAACACACTTCAGTAATAAAAAAAAGACACACAAATGTTTGTCTAGAGTAATTTGTGCTTATTAGTACGGTTGAACTGGATCATTGAAGGTCAGAAGCAAATAGAATGGGATTAAATACATAAAGGATATTTGTGTTGTTTTAACATTTAATTATTGCAAGTTTGCGTCATATTCTTAGTTGCATTATTTAATTCATTTTGAGGAATACTGAATCTGTGGGGTTTTTTTGTGAGTGAGATGAATTAATGCATATTCATATTTATTTTAGAACTACAGTAACATCTTCTGATTTCTCTCAACATGGGGACAGGAGAGCTGTCAGTCAATAAATTGGAAAAAAAAGTAACTTGCGTTACTTATTTGAAAAAGTAACTCAGATATTCTCTTGTAAATGAAAAAGTAATGCGTTACTTTATTAGTTACTTGAAAAAAGTAATCTGATTACGTAACTCGCGTTACTTGTAATGCGTTACCCCCAACACTGATTAAAAGTAATAGTTAACAATTCATAAATGGAACAGCAGACTTAAGAAACTCCATACTGCTTGATGTTCAAATAGGATAGCAGTGCATGCTGTTAATTCATTCATTCATTTCATATAGACTCAAATGTCCAACTCAACTCTGCCTTCTAAAATTGTAGTCTGGTTAAATTGTGTATTTGATCCATCAGGACTCCTTAAAAGGAACACGCGCACACACTCAATGCTCATGTCACTGTCAGTCACGCGCACCATATAGCCAAAATGACAACAAGACACTGAATAGCAGTATGCAGAGAGATGCCAGTTATAAGTGCCATCGTGATTCCTCTGTCTAATGATGTAAGTGTTGTGTTTGTAGATACAGAGATCGACTGGAAGGCGTATATGGATGAGGTGGAGGGAGTTATTAATGGCACATATGACTACACACAGCTGAAGGGCGACACGGGGCCGCTGGTGTAAGTGTCAACATAGAAAATGTGTGTAGTGTATGTAGTGTGTAGTCTGGCCACTAATCATTTACTGGATTATATATACTGTATGTGTGTTTCAGGTATCCAGCTGGTTTTGTGTATATATTCACTGGGCTGTATTATCTTACTGATCATGGACAGAATATTCGTTTGGGTCAGTACGTGTTCGCTGTGTTCTATCTCACCACTCTTCTGCTTGTGTTCCGCATTTACCATCGCACCAAAAAGGTAATGACCCCATATAATGCAAATCCATTATACATACTGTACGTTCTGTTCAGTCAGTTTTTTTTTTTGCACCCAAGAATAGCCAGGATCTTTTTACAAACCACTGTTCAAAAGTTTGGGGTCTGTAAGAAAGTTCAAGTTCAAGTTCAAGTTGAGCTTTATTGTCATTCTGCTACATGTTATATATTTATTTATTTATTTATTTATTTATATGAACTTTCTATTCATCAAAGAATCACGAAAAATGTATCACCGTTATATATTACGGTCATATATTAAGCAGCACAACTGTTTTCAACATTAAAAAAAAAATGTTTTTGAGCATCAAATCACATGTAATAAAATGATTTCTGAAGGATCATGTGACACTGAATACTGGAGTAATAAATTCAGCTTTGTGTTGCAGAAATATAAAAAAGTACATAGATTCAAATAAAAATATATTATTTAAATAGTAAAAATAGTTAATAATATTTCTGTTTTTACTGTATTTTTGATCTGCTTTTGCTTGGTGAGCATAAGAGACTTCTTTCAAAAATCTTACAAACCCCAAACTTTTGAATGCTGGTGTATAATTTATGTAATACAGTGTACAGTATTTCTACGACATGTATTATTAATTCTATGAACTGTATATCCAACTTCAGCTAAACAACATTTCTGGTTTTATTATGTTTTTAACATTTTTCATGATTCTGAAAGTGTCTTATTAATAGTGCTTGTCTGTTTATTCTTCTCTAGGTTCCTCCATATGTGTTCTTCTTCATCTGCTGTGCTTCGTATCGAATTCACTCCATTTTCGTCTTGCGTCTCTTTAATGATCCGGTGGCCATGATGCTGTTATTCGGAGCCATCAATCTCTTCCTGGATGGCCGCTGGACTCTAGGATGTGCTCTCTACAGGCAAGTAGAAACAACATCTTCATTCTACATGGAGTGATAGATGAATGGTAAGAGAAACTAAGTATTTGAATTAAACAATTTACTATCAGTCATATAACTTTTTTTGACACTATTTTGATGCCTGATTTCTTCCTCACTTTATAACATAAGAATAATTATCGTTTGATAAATGAATGGTCATTTCAGCAGTGTGTGTGCATTTAAAGTATATATTTGTCTGTGCTGTGGACAGTTTAGCTGTGTCTGTGAAGATGAATGTTCTGCTCTTCGCTCCTGGTCTCCTTTTCCTTCTGCTGTGTGAGTTCGGTCTATGGAAAACTTTACCTAAACTCACTCTCTGTGCTGTCATTCAGGTTAGACGCACATAATTAGACTCATTCACATATTTATTAAGTGATTCAACTGTCTTTTTGATGTTTTACACCAGCTTTTCATGTACAACTCTGTTTTTCTCTCTTTCAGATGGTATTGGGACTGCCGTTCCTCTTGGTGAACCCTGTTGGGTATGTTAGCCAGGCCTTTGACCTGGGCAGGCAGTTTCTTTTTAAGTGGACGGTGAACTGGCGTTTTCTTCCTGAGGATGTGTTCTTGAGTCGATACTTCCACCTGGCTCTGCTTCTGGCTCACATTACCACTTTGCTTCTGTTTGCGCTGAAGAGATGGAAGAGGTACAAAAATCAAAACCTACAATTAAACTTGGGATTAGTGGCAGTATTTTACATGGTTGAATCAAAAACTATTTAAAGGGATTTTAATAGGACTTGCAGCTTCATTTGTTGAACAAAATATTATTATTACAAGTCCTAAGGCTTCTTGGTAAACTAAATATCCTACAGGTCTTTTTGTTCTACTGACTGTCATTTAAAAAATAGTGTTTATTACAGGTCTGGGAACAGTATTTGGTCTATTCTAACAGATCCGTCTGAGAGAAAAGAGACTGTACACAAGCTCAGTGCTGATCATATCCTTTTTATGGTTGTTTAAATCAAATGTATGATGGATTGGATTCAGATCATTTTAAATAAACCAGGCATTCCTGAACTTTGCACTATTAGTCCTAGGTGATATGATGAGAATTGTTCCTTAACCCAGATCATACAGACAGTTCTGGTTCTTTTCACTTCTAATTTCATTGGCATGTGCTTCAGTAGATCTCTGCATTATCAGTTTTATGTCTGGTACTTTCATACGCTGCCATACCTGTTGTGGAGTGGAGGAGTCAAGAAACTTGCCCATCTGCTCAGGTAAAACACAGACACATGGATTAACTGTTTTTTTTCTCCTCATAAATTTCATGTGTGTGTTTGTATATTTGAGTTAGTTTCGTTTGTTGTGCAAAGTGACAGTATCACAACAACCAGAGCATATTTGTTGATTAATAATAAATAGCTATATGGAGCAGAATTTGGAAAAATGAGATTTCACTGTGGGCACAGATACCATGTGATGTGGTAGAAACATTAGTTAATGCATTAGGCAGTGCTCAATAATAAGGACTGCCTGATGGCCTTGGGTAAGCGCGAAATAGGCTTAGGACAGTTGACGGAAATGTGCATCATCATTGAAGTTAATTGAATCATTTAAACATTCAAGTGATTTTAAACCTTTTGTTTGCAAGAAGAATTAGATTAAGGCTTAATTACATTTTTTTTAATGTATATTTTTTTTATTTGATTTTTTGTGCCGGGACCAATGAAAATTGTGGCATTGCGAGTAAAAAAATATGAACCACTGGCTCAACTGAGCCAGTAGAAAAATTATTAGAATGAAGTCCTGATTAGGAATCATGAATAAAATTTTTTTTTTTTACAGCATTTATTAATCTAGGTTAATTTTTATTTATAAACGCACTATTATTAAAGGGGTCATCCGATGCTACATGCACTTTTACAAGTTGTTCGAACTGAAATGTGTGTTGGCAGTGTGTGTACACAACCACCCTATAATGATAAAAATCCACCCAGTGTTTTTTTTTAATCTACTAAAATCTTTACCCCTTTCTCAAATCGAGCCGATCTCAGATGCCTGTCTGTGTGATGTCACACAGACAGGCCCCTCCCACGATAGTTTGATTGACAGTAGTGTTTCAGCACAGACTGGACTGGTGTCTTACCTTAGACCCGCCCTGAGTGAGCTGTCATCAGACCGCCATTGTTTCACTGCCGGAGCAAATGTAGACAAGAATGACTCCTAAGCAGCTGAGGTGTTCTGTTGTTGGATGTAATAATGAACATAGCAGTAGTCATTTACCCCCGACATCCGAGCCGCTGAAGACGCAGTGGATTACGTTTGTTTCTGAAGGAAATGCGCATAATGCACATAAATGCATTTATGTTCGAGCGAATCATTCGTGATCCAGCTTCACCTACAGAAGAAGCGAGTATAAGGTTTTTTAATGAATCTTTGAAAATCGCCTTTCCTAATAAAGTGCTAATTAGCAAGTTTCACGATGATTGCGGCTAAAGTAAACAGTCCCTCAGAGAGCA